GGGTACATCTTCAACCCAATAAATTTACTTGACATTTATGTTTTTTAGCGAAGTATATTTAGCATTTTTATGTTAAATTTACCTATATCCTAAAAAAAATAATAAATAAATAACGTATCCCCAGCGTGTCCGTGTCCTAGTTTTTTAGAAATTGACGTATCGCCGTGTCCTGTCGTGTCCGTGTCCGTGTCCGTGCTTCTTAGTGTTGGATGGTAGGTAATTTCCCTCAAGTTTAAATAACAGCTCATAAGAATGCCCTTGAGACAGCATTAACTACAGAAAATCCTATTCAGGTGAACCAATTTGGAAGCAGTGTACTATGTTCATGGGATAGATGAATTCGTTTCCTCAATCCTGTGTTGATGTCAATTTCGTATTTATTAATTCCCGAATGATGAGTAATGTAGAAGTGTGGTCTAGCTAGAGAAGCTATTTAAACTGTCAAAATTGGAAAAAGGTTTGGACGCGACCTTCAAGATTATTGTTATTATTGTGAGAATTCTTCTTTAATTTCCTTACTACTAGCCTCTAGATTGTAGTGTTTGGAAATATTTTGTTCAATTGGAGGTCCTAAAAGGGAGATGGCTTCATTTTGACAACTTGGAGATGATCGGTGCTCTCGATGAGAGTGGTACTCATAAGCACCTTTCTGTGGATATTGTGGATGGAGAGAAACAAAAGAGCTTTTGGGGACAAGGAGAGATCCTTCTCTTTTGTGTGTTATCAGTAGCTCGATCTTGCTATAAATTATAATTTCTTTCTGTAACTATGGCTTAGTTTTTATTTGTTCTAATTGGAAGTCTTTTGTATCTTGCTTAGCTGGGGCCAAGGTTTTCCTCGCCCTCACTTTGTATGTTTTATTTCTTCAATGAAATAGTTTCTTTTCTTTTCTTGTCCAAAAAAAAAAAAAAAAGACTTGATGTATTTAACGCATTGGCTTTTATGGAATACAGTGAAGCGCCATGTTTTCATCATATTGATAGGTTGGAACAGTCCCCTACCTCTGTTTTGGACATTCTCCAGGTTAAAAGCAACCATCTGCATCAACTTGTATCTGAAGGGGATGTTAATGGTGTCAGGTTAGGCTATACCATCATATTGGCTTCTTTTGTTCTCTTCTAGATTTTTTTAGGCATCTTTTTCAGTTGAAATCTGCGACTCATTTAACCTGCATCTGCAGAGATCTTCTTTCCAAGTCTGCATCAGGGAATAATAGGAGCTCAGTCATCTCTCTGCTGGAAGCTCATAATTCTGAAGGCCAAACTGCTCTGCACCTGGCATGCAGAAGGGGATCTCCAGAACTGGTTGATGCGATCTTGGAGTATAGTGATGCAGACATAGATTCCCCTGATGAAAACGGGAATCCACCAATAGTATTTGCTTTAGCTGTTGGATCAGCTGAATGCGTGCGTGCACTCATTAGGAAATCAGCTAATGGTATGTTTAGGTTGATGGAAGGCTTTGGTCGGTCTGTTGCTCATGTCTGTGCCTATTATGGGCAACCCAATTGCATGCGTGTAAGTTGTCACATATCCACCTTTTGGGCAACTACTGTTTATTTTATTTGATAAATACTCTCTGAGAATTGTGGTGATTGCAGGAGCTACTTCGGGCGGGGGCTGATCCCAATGCAGTTGATGATAATGGTGAATCTGTACTGCACGTGGCCATTGCGAAGAAATTTACTCATTGTGCAATTGTAATTATGGAGCATGGAGGTTGCAGATCAATGGGGTTTCTGAATTCAAAAAACTTAACGTAAGACTGAACTTCTTTTTGTTGTTTTCTCAAGAAACATAAGGGACCCTGAACAGACATCTTAAATTTTATAATTTCCAATATAGCTTTACTGAAATTACTTTTGCCTCAAAATTCAGATGGTCCATACTGGGGAAGTAGTGTTTCTTTTTGTTGGACAGTAATAGGTAGTATTTACAGTAAGTTCGAAATATCAAATGCTGTAAACTGTCATGATTTGGTCTAATCATTCGAGGGGCAAGAAGCAAGTTGTGAACTTATTATAGGTCATGGGTTCAAGTATTGGCAGCCATCTAGCTAAAGTATTATCCTTAAAGTTTCTTGATTTCAAACACTTTAAGGTTAGATGAAAGTGTCTTGAGATTTGTTGAGATGTGTGAAACAATATTTTATCAAAAGAATGGAATATATGAAAAGGAAGGTACGGCATGCTCCCAGCCTCTAGCCACTCTCCAAATTGGTAGAAATAGAAGTGGAGTAAGTAAAAAATAAGCTCTGGAAACGCCTCTTGGGGAGGCAGCATAGTCAGTAGGCTCACTCCAGAAAATGCCTATCTTAGAAAATACAATAATAGCATTTAACAAAAGGAGTTAAGACTTTTCCTTTTATTTATTATTTATTATTATTTTTTTTTCGGAGAGGATGGCCCATCAAACTTTTAGTAACTTTTTGATAAGCTGTGGGAGGCTTCAGTGATTGGCTCCTCTTCTTGAGTTTTATTTGGGTTTCTTTTTGTATGTAATTATTCTATCTCTAATACTTATGTCAATGTGGAGTAGGTTTTTGTTGGTTTTTTTAGCTTTCGAGGCATCCCCTGTGTAAATTCCATATTTTCTATTAAATATTTTAGTTTCTTATTGAAGAGATGTTTTTTCCATTCTGAGGCCTTTGTCCCATCCTTTTACTTTTTCTTCTCACTTAGTATAGAATTAATGAGACCTCGATTTTTTTTTATTGAAAAAACTTGAAGTTGCTTATAAGGATTGCTTTAGCATCCATGACTTGTACCTTCAATTGTGCCCTTCAGCAAACACTGGAAGTATAGATCATATTTCAACATTGCTCCTCTCTTTATATAGGGATGCAGATTATATGATGTTTATTGCTTAGCCTGGACTTCCTTACCCACCTCCTCAATGTAACTAATGATGCAAAGATTTTAAAGTTCCTTCTTGTGCTACCGAACCCTTCTCAGGACATCTGATCAATATGCAGGGGTCTTGTCCTCTTTTTATTAATCTAATCTACTCCACCAGAAGCTGTAATATTATTGTTCCATGCTAATAATAATTTTGTTGCTTACCAAACATTTCCTTTCGTCATGAACAACAGGCCTCTGCATATGTGCATCACAACCTTAAACGTAGATGTTGTTAAGATGTGGGCTGAACTTGCATCACCTGAGGAGATTTCTGAAGCTATTGATATACCAAGTGCCACAGGAACTGCCTTATGCATGGCAGCTGCTCTTAAGAAAGACCGCGAGATAGGTAAATTCTGGTCATCTGAGATTTTTCTCAACTGTGTTCGCTTTCAGCCATTTCTTTTTATGATTCATGTAGGATGCATAGCATTAGAAGGTGATTCTGACACCTACCTTTCATCAGTTCACCTAGAAATAAATATACAATGGAAACTTTAGCTTCTAAAACTGCTGAAATCAGCCTTGGATTTCGTTGGTGGCCATATTTTCCATGAGAAACATGGATTTCATAAAGAAACTACTGTAATGTAAGGTTGCGGTGAAAAATGTGATTATTAATTAAAAAACTATAAAGGGACTTCAGAACTGTTGTGTTGTCACAAGGGAAAAAAAATCTTACATTCTACCGTAACAAACACATATCTTCAACCCATTCGTATGACATCTATTCTTATCCTTGTTTAAAAATAATTCTTTCTTCCTATAATAAACACTTGTAATTTTAAAATAACTCCATCATTATCTACAAATTTCGATTTTTGACCCTGAAATATCTTCCATTCTGAATGATGTTGCAAAGGTTGAGAGCAAATGAAAAGTTAAAAAAAAGATTGTTGATCTCCTTTGACACTGGAGTACATAGAGGGAATTGGAGAAGCAGGCAATCTAGTTCTTAGTTTGCTCTTGGGGTAATGTGCTTGCTGCTGAGTTGTAGCACGTATTAAAGTCACTCAAAATATTGGTAATATTTTGTTAGTGTAATCTTCACTAAGATGAAACCTTTTCCTGATATGCGTGCTTTTTATTTGGCAAGAGAGAGGCCGCATTGCCAAGGCTAATTCATTATTGGAAATGCCTAAATTGGACATCGGGTTTATTTTCAAATCAATTGCTTTATCAACGTTTGTTGCTATCTGAATTCCTTGCCTAATACTAATACTCTATGTAGAGGGGAGAGAACTTGTCAGAGTTCTGCTAAAGGCTAAAGCTGATCCTGCAGCCCAAGATCCACAGCAATGTCGAACAGTTCTTCATACAGCTGCCATGGCTAATGATGCTGAGTTAGTGAAGGTGATATTACTATTTTATTCTTTTACACTCCTGGATTTATTTCATGTTCACAAGGAAGCTGACAAATTTTGCTAGCTCAGCATTTCAAACATCTTATAATTACCTTTTTTTCTCAGATTATTCTTGATGCTGGAGTGGATGTAAATATCAGGAACGTACATAACACAATACCCCTTCATTTGGCACTGGCACGAGGTGCAAAGCCATGTGTTCAATTACTCTTATCTGCTGGAGCAAACTGTAATTTGCAGGTAGGCTTTCTATGTGCTACTAAATGCTATTTTGTGCAACTGAGTTGGAGTACACCTTGAACCTATATTTCGAATAGTTCTGTTGTACTTGTGGAGAACTTTCTATGCTCTGTAGCCAATAACTATATAGGAGAAAAACATTGACCTTCTCGAAAGGTCCCTGAAATTAGAAACTGATTTGCAACAAGGCAGAAAGGGATGAAATCAAGGAAAACATGTATAATTGAGAGTAAGAGTTCAGTGTGGATTTCAAGATTGACTCTGACAATAAAAAAAATTGCATGAAGGAGTAGGGAAAAGGTTAGTTGTATCTATTCTTGTTGAATGCAAAATACTTGAATGAATGGAAATAATGCAAGAATCTTCTAAAAGGCCCCTCGAATCAGAAGTTTCTTAGGAGGATAAGCGATGAAAATGGGACTTATTAGGCGCAGCAACCGAAGACAATTGAGAGGGTATACAGAAGTGTTCTTAATGTCAAATGATGGGAAGAAACTTTCATTGTTTGTACTGACAGGAAAGTGGGCGCTGGGGTAAAAATCATTCTCTTCAATAAGATAATGATATTAGATTTCATTCTAAACTTGGCCGAGTGGGAAAGGTAAGATTACCAACTTGAGTTACTTTGAACAGAAGAAGGGATGATGGAGTAGAAGTGGAGTAGAAGTTTGGTGCAGCGTGAGGAAAAGGGAGAAGGAGTCAGGGGAGTTGACTAGAGGGAAATTCAATGAAGTTATATAGGAGAAAACATTGTAAATCACAAGTTTATGTTTTCATGTTAATTGGTACGACATTCGAGGTGCACTGAAGGAACAAATTAATGAAGCTTTCACGTCAAATCTTTTCAACTAGAAAGATTTCTACTCAGGTGCGGTTATGAGGAGGTTATGAGACAATTTGGCAGATACAAAAGTGAAACACTATTGGAGATTTTGCTGTTAAATTTGAGAACAGGATGCATGAAGATAATTTGTGGATCATGCCTTCCATATGTTGATGAATGGTCCCCTTTTTCCCACGCAAATACCTTTAACTTTTAATATATTTCTATCTTGTGTCTTTTGTTGAGCGCATTTCAACCAGCCAATAGAACTCTTTTGGGTGAATGTAATCAGGATGATGACGGTGACAATGCCTTTCATATAGCAGCAGATGCAGCAAAGTTCATACGTGAATGTCTTGAATGCATCTTGTTGATATTAAGATATCCGGATGCTGCTATTGGCGTAAGAAACCACAGGCAAGTGTTGTGATAATACAATTGTTTAATATATTATTTCCTAAGGATACTCTTAAGATCCACTACTTCAAACAAACTATCTTCGTTCCCATTTTAATTTTCTTTTTCTCATCTAGCTCAACATATTATACAATTGATCTACATTCTACTTGCGAAAACTCAACTTTGGACCGTATTATTTTAACTTGTAAATGACTTTCTCAATGACTGGAAAATAGTGGTAAGACATTTTGTGAATTATTGGAAGCCCTACCTCGGGAATGGATTTTTGAAGAACTTATGGATGCACTAAAAGAGAAGGGTATTCATTTGTCCCCAACAACGTGAGTGGAGTACCATTTTGCTGATCTTAACATTGCAGAATTTATGCAGTCCTTGAGTTCAGTGATTAACTTGAATTTTGGATACTCTCCCTCTAGATTTCAAGTGGGCGATTGGGTGAAATTCAGAAGATGCGTGGCAAATCCTGCATATGGTTGGCAAGGTGCAGGGCCCAGGAGTGTTGGGTTTGTGCAGGGTTCCCAAAGTAGCGATGGTCTTTCTGTATCGTTTTGCTCTGGTGTTGCACATGTTTTGGCAGATGAAATTATCAAAGTTATTCCTCTGGATAGGGGACAGCTGGTGCAACTTAGACCTGACGTGACAGAGCCAAGGTTAGATGTTTTGTGGGTTTCACTTATTCATCAAAGATTCAACTGCATTACTTTTCTATTTCTTTTTGAATTAATTTATTGATAAGGTGCTAGAATACTACAGTACTATGATGCCAGGATACTTAAGTTTTCTCACCAATCACTAAACAGTGGCACATTTTATCTGGTGCAACAATGAATATAACAAATTCTTTCTCTTTCCATATAACTTTATTATTTTATTATTTATTTATTTTTTATAAGAAACTGAACTTTCATATATCACTAAAACCTCTTCTTTTGTCAGGAAGAATATATATGCACTTCTGGGATGAAAAGTACATGAAGCACTTTAATTTTTGGGTTTTAATTAGTTGGAGCCAAATATGAACATGTTGTGACGTGTACTTGTACCAATGGGAGAAATTTTTGTAACTCCTAGTTTTGTAGGCATTGTGTCTTGTATATGTTATTTATCGATGAAACTTTGCTTGCTTCCCCAGAAAACCCCTTGAACAAGTCTCACCAAGTGCAGTTGTCATTCTTCTCAGGTTTAAGTTGCTTGGACAAGCACGCGACAGCATTGGAACTGTCTTGTGTATTGATGATGAAGAAGGAATTATTCGAATTGGATTTACTGGTGCATCTAGAGGATGGCAAGCTGACCCTGCAGATTTTCAAAGACTTCAAGAATTCAAGGTTGGTGATTGGGTCCGTGTACGTTATACTGTACCCACTGCAAAGCATGGATTTGGAGCTGTAACTCCAGGGAGTATTGGGGTTGTGTATGGTATCAGACCAGACAGTAGTTTGCTGATTGAATTCTGCTATTTGTCGAGCCCTTGGCTTTGTGAACCAGAGGAGATCGAACCTGCTGTCCCCTTTAAGGTGAATGTTCCATTCTCTATTACAGTTTAAATTTGATCTGAGCCTCATTTCTTTTATCCTTAGGGAACCTGATATGTTTTACTTCCTTGTAGATTGGAGACCAAGTATGTGTTAAACGCTCTATATCTGAACCTAGATTCCCTTGGGATGGTGAGACGCATAATAGTGTTGGAAAAGTAAGTGATATTGAAAGCAATGGTCTCTTGATAATTGAACTACCAAATCGGCATGGACCATGGAAGGTAGATCCATCTGACATGGAGAAGGTGGAAAAATTGGAGGTATATCTTCTGGGGAAGCCTTCATATAAATACTGGCACCTGTATCAAGTACGAGTGTCAACTTATTTCCTTTTTTCTCCCTGCACAAACAGGTCGGTGATTGGGTTAGGGTGAAAGCATCTGTACCCTCTCCCAAATATGGGTGGGAGGATGTACCACGAAACAGCATAGGAATAATTTTTTCCTTAGAGGAGGATGGAGATGTGGATGTGGCATTTTGCTTCAGGAGCAAAACTTTCCCTTGCTCTGTTACAGACATTGAAAAGGTGCCACCTTTTGAAGTGGGACAAGAGATTCACATTCTGCCGTCTGTTACCCAGCCATCGCTTGGGTGGTTAGATGAAACCCCAGCCTCTTCAGGAAAAATTGAAAGAATTGATATGGATGGGACTCTAAATGTTAGTTCTTATACTTCACTTTTATCCTGGAGTGTATGTTTCTTGAGATAGAGATATTGACTTAAAAATGTTGTTTAAAGCTGCTTTTCTTTATTTTTAGGTGAGGGTGTCTGGAAAGAAAAACCTATGGAGAGTTGCTCCAGGTGATGCAGAAAAATTATCAGGGTTGGCAGTGGGTGACTGGGTCAGGATGAAGCAATGTTTGGGAACAAAATCAAATTATGAATCGAATAATACTGTGAGGGAAAAAATAGCAGTAGTTTACAGCATACAAGATTACTCTTATTTAGAATTGGCATGTTGTTTTCATGAGGGCAAGTTCCCTGTACACTGCACAGAAGTGGAAAAAATTCCTCCACTAAAAATTGGCCAGTATGTCCGATTCCGTGCTGGATTGGCTAAACCAAGATGGGGATGGAGAGGTGCTAATCCCAATTCAAGGGGTGTTGTAACTGCGGTAAATGCTAATGGAGAAATAAGGGTATCGTTGTTTGGCTTGTCCGGATGGTGGAGAGGAGATCCTGCAGATTTTGAGGTAGAGCAAATGTATGCTGTGGGAGAATGGGTGAAATTAAAAGATGATACTGATGGACGGAAATCTTTGCCTGCCGGAAGTGTTGGTGTTGTACAAGGATTAAGTTATCATGAAAATGAATGGGATGGTTCTGTTCTTGTTGGATTCTGTAGAGAACCGGAAATGTGGGTGGGACACACTTCAAAACTTGAAAAGACAGACAGATTTCATATAGGACAGCGGGTGAAGGTGAAGCCTTCTGTACCAAATCCACGATTCGGGTGGTCGGGCCACTCCCATGCCAGCATTGTTTCTATAACTGCAATTGATGCAGATGGCAAAATTAAAGTATCCACTCCATCTGCTCAAAAGCCATGGACACTTGATCCATCTGAAGTTGATCCGGTAGAGGAAGAGCAGCTCAACATCGGAGACTGGGTGAAGGTCAAGCCATCTATTGTAATGCCTGTTTATCATTGGGGGGATGTTACTCGTCAGAGTGTCGGGGTAGTCCACAAGATGGAGGATGGAGAGCTTTGGGTGGCCTTCTGCTTTGTGGAGCAGCTGTGGATATGCAAGGACTCGGAGGTCGAGAAGGTGAGACCCTTTAGAGTTGGCGATGCAGTGAGATTTCGGGAAGGATTAAAAATTCCTAGATGGGGATGGGGAATGGAGACACATGCCAGTGAAGGCCAAGTAGTTGGTGTTGATGCAAATGCAAAAGTAAGGGTTAGATTTAGGTGGAGGGAAGGACGTCCTTGGATCGGGGACCCCGCTGACCTTGTTCTTGATGAGAGTACTTGATCTTGATTCAGGAGCCTAAATTTAAAGCTCTGCATACCAAATCAACTTCAGTAGAGAATGACCCCCAGGCTTCGGCTTTGCAAGCGTGTGGAATTCTGGGATACTGAAGTAATTCACCGATCGAAGACGAGGCATTATGCCATGTACGTAAATGCTTTGGAGAACTGCAGTTGGAGATGAAGATGAATAGAGAGTTGGAGGAAACAGTGAAGCAATGCCCCTTTTGGTGTGGCATAATCAATCTATATATCGACAACGTCTTTTATATATCGTTGTGCTTGTAGATAAAGTTGAGTTATATAAAAAACTGCTGAGGGGTAATATATTATTTAGATATGTACATATAATTTTCCGGTGATTATAATAACTAACATTTCAGCAATTCTTCTACCCTAAAAGCTGCATATTTGCTTGATGCGTCTGGACTAAGATTCCATAGGAGGCAGGAGCATATCACAGTGATTTCTTGTAATGCAAATGGCTCCAATCAGGTTTGCCATATTTTTTCTACCGCGGGTACAAAAATTGAGAAATAAAGTCGATCAATAGAGATTGTTCAGATGCTGATGCAGGCAACCATCTTGCCTCCACTTTTTTTTTTCTTTTTTTCTTTTTTTCTTTCTTCTTTTCCTGTTCTTTTAGTTCACCTGATTACAGGTGAGGAATCGAAGTTGGAACCATCAATCTTAGGAGGGCTAATAAAAGATCAACGGTAATTATTGATTGTCTTATAATGTGTTGAAATATTGTTTGGACTAATGTAACTTTTTGTTTTCCTACTTGGAACATCTATTCCATAATGAGTCTATATTTTCAAATCTTCTATTTTGATTCACATTTTAGTATTATGCTTTAAAATATTTTGTTCCATTAATTTGATGGGTACATATTTATATAAACAAAGATTCAGATTCTTTTTACTTATAGAATCTTTCTAAAATAATTAAGAGATTTTCTAGAAGAAACATAAGGTTTTGCTTTTAGTAGCAACATGCTATAGATTGGAGCAGTAGTTCTACTTATAGGGTCAATTTGATTGAAGAAAGATTTAGAATATTGATCCGACTTTTTTTTTTACTTTGCTGGTTGAGCTTTCCATAACATTTACAACAAAAATATCTTTAGCTTGAAGTGGTAACATACCAAGATCAATCCTAAAAAACTACTCTTTCGTCTAAGGATGCCAAATTGGCACACCGAGTTTCCAAAAAAAAAAACAAATTAGTCGTGACAAAATTCAATTTACTAATAGTAACAATTTCAATGATTCGAATGTTCGCATATCATTTTTTCCCATTATAATCTATTTTGAGAGTACACGAAAATGAAACAATTTTGTAAATTCAAAGACAGTAAAAATAAAACCTTTCTTTTACCTGTTATTTTAACAAGTATATAATAATAAATTCCAACACTTCAAAAAGGAACATATGCTTATTAAAAAAAAAAAAGAGAAAAAACACTACTCAAGAATCTAGGTGTGGGATTCGAATTTATTGCACACAAGTTGCAGACAATCGACGATGAAATGAACAAAATTGCAGCGACAAGAAAATAACGTTTGGAAGACTGACTTAATATTACAAATTGACATACTTTACACAAGCTTTCAAAGTCCCTACCTGAGGCCACTGCATCAATGGAAAATTGTTGGCCTATTATATCAAAGCTTAAACTACTTGTGCTTCAGAAAATCACCAACTCATTTATTGTATGACCCATCGGCTCATTTCTGTTCTATGAACTTACAAATTGCCCTCTGCTCCACCATGGAAATCTGCACCCCATCACTCAAACCAGACTGAAACTCTTCATTGGAAGTAGAGAACAAGAAGAAGAACGCGTCGTTCTTCCTCACTAGAATAAGGATTCTTACTGAGCTCCACTGCGCTTCATAACAGCAATGGTGCACAAGTTGATTCAGTTTTAAGTGACTGGGGCGTGGGGGGTGGGGGCGATGTTAGGGTCTGATTCTGATGGTGTCCAAGCATAGACGAGCAAGCCCAGAACAAGAATGATGGCTCCTGCTACAAATCCTGTTGGAAGAGAGGAAGCAACACCGATGTACGGGAGCGGCAAGGTGAACATATACACTGATATTGGCACTGTTCATGTGAAAGAGAAAATGTTACCAAAAATAAAATAGATGAAAAGATAAAGCAATCGTCTTTTGAGAATATGCAAGAATGAGAGGAGACAGTGTTTGTGGCCCTCCCAAGTAACTTGTTCTTGAAAAACTATGAAGAACATGTCAGTAGATGGTGACTTTCGAAAAGTTCTAAGATTGGCTAATCAGGGCTGATTGCTGAGCCTAACGGGGCATAATTCAGGGGGAGGACTTGATATCCTCAACCAGCAGTATAATTTATTGACCAACTCTCCCTCAGAGCTAAATGGAAGTTTTGCTAGGGAAGCAATATGAATTAAGGATTTTGGATCCTTCAATTCGGCACAGAAGAAACGAATCCAATTTCTGATTGTTCTAATGGAACCGTCTAGGATGAGTAAAAGTAACATGAAGAGATGTGAGAAAGTACCTGAAAAAGTGGATGCAAGAGAAGAAACCACGGCAGATGAGATCTTGAGGAGATGCAACAGTGAAATGTTAAACCCTATATTTACAATAATAAAAAGAAGAGGTAGCAGTGGTGCACCATCACATCCTGTGATCAGGAAAATCCTTTTAGTATCTAAACCAAACACCAAATTCGAAATGATAAATATAAGATAGCATAGCATTTAGAAGGTCCAAGCTGGCAAACAACGAGCAAAACTATCATATTCTGTTGTCCCACGAGCGGACATTATGTTTTTTCATTAAAAAGGAAATATATAGACCACTGAAACAAATAGAAGATGAAGACAAGCTTACCAGTTAAAGTACCAAAATTTAGAAAACAGGCCGCGCCATCTCTAAGATAGCTTGGCAGTTGACTAAATGGAATACCCCATAACTTTGACAAGAATGGTAGGAGAGCTAGTATGAAAACTGCCTGCACTTGACATGAAACAACTTCTTAAACTGCAATTAATAATAGAAGAACAAAAATTCGGGATCAAGAACATGAATCAAACTGCCGTACCTGGAAAGCAGATCCAAAAGAATTTACAACAAATAAATCAATCGTCCTGCCCTGTACAGAAGCAATTCAGATAGGAATTTGTTAGGCCTCCAATAAAGAAGGTTTACTCAAGAACATAACTGGAAAAGTGGATGACGGCCACGATTAGAATTAACACTTCTAATTATTTACTTTGTGAATATTATGATGGGAAGTTATATCTTCCATCTGTAGTTATGTTGGCTTTTCTTTGTGTTTCTCTTACATGTCGTTTTTGTAAGACTTGGGGTAGCTTTTGTATCTTGTGTGTTTTCTTAAAGTAGTGTAGAGAGTTAGATGACCCTCTCGAATCGGTCATCCACCGGGTTAAATTGTTTTGTGGTTTGTATTGCAGTTTATGATAGTTGATCTTGATAGGGGATACCTATCAGAATTTTACTCAAACCATTCAGGATTGAGGCATTTATACTCCTATATCAAATGTGCATAAAAGAACTCAGGCAGCATGCACTCTTCAATTCCTATGATAATAAAATTATCAATTCACAATTCAACCACTTGCAAAAATTTGAGTGTATGAAATTGGTTTTAGAATTTGAAAACATAAAGCCGGTTTTTTGTCTTATTTTCAGGTAATAATCAGCAA